CCTTTACAGGCTCCAATATGTTCTTGGTCATTCACCCTGCCTGTTCCTTTGTGCTTCTGCAGAAAATCTGGAAGGGACTGCTGATACACTCTGAGAGACCTTAAAATTGCAGCATGGCTTACAGGAGCACGTATGCACTGGGGAGTTTAAATTATTTTTAGGACAAAAGCTACGACTCTTAAGTTTCCTAAAGTTCTTTATTAGCCCGCTGCTCCGGTTTGCTGTTTTTAAAAATAATAATAAAAATAGTAAAAAGCTTTTAGCTGTTCAGCTTCTAACCCACACCTTTGTGTCCACTAAGATGAGTCTGTGCTCTCCCCGTCTCCCTCCTCTCTCCTGTGCTGTTCTGTCTGAGCTATCCCATAATTTGTGGTTAACACTGTAATGGGTGAATAGGACTACTTAAATTGAGTGCAAACTTATACTGAACATGTGAACGGAGCGCAGTTGTTTCCCGACAACAATTACCTGTTGCTCTGCTGTTTTAACAGACTCACTTGGATACTAACAAACGTCTAGAAATCTAAAATAAGATATTTACTTTTGATTTTTGCAGAAGAACTAAAATGCTATTTTTTTTACCTAAACATTTTGCACAGTAGTTAAAAGCACTTTACATTTTAAGCCGTATATTTATACATTTAACAACATTAAAACACAATGGGGATGCCATTTGAATAATTAAAAAAAGAAAAGCGATAACTACGGCATCATCTGGTTGTTGACCCACATGTGTGTGAATAATGTTTCACCAGGTAATGTATGTCATAAGTTACTCTGTAACTGGAAACTCATTTTAACCCAACACTGTAACCTTCTACGTAGCCTGATGTGCACCTCCCGAGAATTGCAACTACACGTGTGGCCGATGCATACCACAACAACTCGAATGGTGTGGAAGGTTGCGGTGTAGACATTTAAAGGGGTTTCTGGTTACTACGCAAGTTAGAAGTCTAAATCAAGTATAGGGGAGGAAACAGCACTCCAGTATACGGACATAATAGTCTTGGCTTCAGGACATTCTGACTGTTGAAAGCTGTAAAATAAAAAGCAGGCTGGCAGGCTCGTAAATGAGATAACAGGATGTGCTGTAATAGAGCTGTTGGCTGAAACACATGGAGTGTTATCAGGTAGGATGGACCTGTTCAAGACTAAACTGATTCCCGTGGTCACTGATGAAAATAATCTAAGTATTAGACACATCTCACTATAATCCAATGCAGTCCACTTTCTAATCCAGGCCAGGGGGACTCCAGTATAAGCACAGGTAGCCACACCGCTTTCTCTGCAGACACCTCTTCCAGGGCAAGGCAGCCAAGAGACTCAAGCTCTACAGTGTCCTGGATCTTCCCCTGGGGTCTCGAATCTGGCTGGACATACCCTAAAAAGCTCACTCAGGAGGTGGCCGGAGGCATCCTGCTCGAACCACCTCAGGGGGCATCCTATTGACCACCTCAGGGGGCATCCTATTGATATGGAGGAGTAGTGTGACAACCTCTAGAAAGACAAAGCTTATCTGGGAGGGGCTCGTCTTTGGAGGACACTCTTTTGTTGTTTGTATCTACAATGTCTTTTTTCAGTCATTACCCAGAACTCAAGCCATGGGTGGGGGTGTGAATGGAGAATGAACCAGCAAATCTACATCGTTGATTTCTCACGCAGCTCTTTCAGACCAATGCATCCACATTACTGCAGACGCTGCACCAATCCATCAGTCAGTCGCCTGCTCCTTACTTCTCTCCCTGGCAAATGAGTCCCAGAGGGATCTGACCCTCAAATATTTATATTACTGAGGGAAAACAGCTCACCTTAGTTCACTGCACTACTTTTTGCTGTGTCCAAGTTCTACACCGACAGTCAGTGGAGCAGCAGCTTCTCTAACAGACTGATTCAGCTCCACTGCCATAAGGACTGATAGAGGAAGTCTTTCAGAACTTATGTAAGAGCTCTTTACATTGCAACATATTCCAACAGATTATCATATGCACTCTCATTTTAACATGCTCTCTTCCACTTTTAACATATTTAACCATATATGCTAAGCCGCTTTAAATTCAGCAGCAGTGGAAATACTTGCAGGAGGCGATGTGGTTTACGCTGCAGGACAAAAATGCTACAGCCAACCAAAGAAACAAACTGTTTTCCTCATTTATAGTTGTGAGCCTGCTCGCCAGTTCCTTTGTGAAGTAAACTGCAGGACAACAGAATTAAACTTTTCTTCTTCTTTTTTTACCTTAAAGAAATGGACCTTTTCTTTGTATGAACTTTATTTCAACTTGGACAAAGCTAGTTAACATTTTTCTTTTTTTTAAATTATTAATATGACCATACAATTGTACCAAATCAAAAACAACCCTAAATGGCGATTATGCACACCTGGATCTCATGTACCTCTATCCAGTTTAGATAAGAGCCCCATTGTGTTCTTTTCAGGTGATTTTGTCCCCACCCCCGTCTGCCCATTCTCCTGTTTCCTACTGAGTAACTGTTACTGATCCCGCTAACCTACCAAGAGCTTATTATCATCTTCTGTTTGTCAATGCAAATCTTCTCCCGACCCGCCGCATGTCCACACTGCGCAGGACCTTTCTTCCGTTTCAAAGGATTGTTTTACCTCCCCACTGCCTCAAAGTGTGGCTCAAATGGGGTTGCTGTGTTAACTTTATTATATATATATCGCAGTGAAATGACTCGTTTTAATGTTTAGGAGTTTTATAAATAAATCTGAACTGAGAAGTTTTGGTTTAGGACACGCAAAACAGACCAACAATGACCTCAGGCGTATTTCAAGTGATGCAAACGTGACCTGTAACGTCTCTAAACTGTTGCTCCTGGAGCCGATCTAATTTGCAGTCTGCTGCACAGTCAGTTATGTGGAGATGCGCTGCATAGACTCATTAATTAAGTTCCCACACGTTATGTAAACACGCTTGGTTAAAGCTGACGCAGCTTAGCCAGCCAACGTTTGCAGCCAGCCAGTTCAATCCAAGATAAAATGAAAACCGACCCCAGGAACCACTAAGCAGACACTACAACGACCTAATCGTGAAGTCTAGACAAAGACATGATGGCTACTGGGGGCGCACACAAGAACCAGCTTGGAAAGGTCGCGTTAAAATACAAATCCTATCGTTTGTTTTCGCTAGCCTGCTAACGCTAGCTACCGTTTCCATCCTCTGGCTTCATCTGGCGCCTGCTCGCAGCATCCCGCGCTGACGCTGCCGTCAACAAAGATCCAGCAGTGGGTCATAAACCGGCGCCCACTTTCACCCATGCCCCCCAACCCACAGGAACCGGGTTTTTTTTTTATGAATTAAATTGATGTTACCTGGATCCGCTTCTTGTGCCTCCTGCGCTCCGCCATGATCCTCCAACTCAGCTCATCCGTGCTCGAGGCTGCGCACGCGCATGGAGAACGTAGTATCGCGAGACTAGCCTAACGTTCGTTTCCCATTGATAAAATTCAAGATCTAATTTAATACATTTAATATTTGAATAATATATATTTGTAATACAGTATTAGATATAATACCGATAAGGATAATTATATTACATAGAACTATTGTGTTTTTATTAAGAATTTGGATACAAACAATACATGGTATGACCTGCTATGATGTATGGTTTGGAGATGATGGCGCTGACAGAAAGAGACGAGTTTATTAGAATTTAGCATATCAGAGGGAAAGTCAGGTTGAACGGTTTGGACATTTGCAGAGGAGACAGTGGATAAACTGGATGGCGAATGTTGGAATTGCCAGGAAGCAAGAGAAGAGGAAGATGACAGAGTAAATTCATGGATGTAGTGAAGGAGGACATGCAGAGTAATGGTGTGACAGAGGAGTTTGCTAGGGCCAGGGTGAGATGGAGGTAGATGGGCTGGTGTGAGGGTCTCTAAAGAGAGCTGCCAAAAAAGGAGAAGATAACAGAATAATGTGAATGTAGTCCCGGCAAACTGGGAAAAGTATAGTGCCCCAGAGTGGAACACAAACACTGTTGCCAGCTAAAGCTTTTTCTCTAAAGCCTTCCCATTTCCATCCATCCATCCATCGTCATCCGCTTTGTCCGGGGTCGGGTCGCGGGGGCAGCAGCCTAAGCAAAGAGGCCCAGACCTCCCTCTCCCCAGCCACCTCCTCCAGCTTGTCCGGGGGAATACCAAGGCGTTCCCAGGCCAGCCGAGAGATATAATCTCTCCAGCGTGTCCTGGGTCTGCCCCGGGGCCTCCTCCCGGTGGGACATGCCTGGAACACCTCACCCAGGAGGCGCCCAGGGGGCATCCTTGTCAGATGCCCGAACCACCTCAGCTGGCTCCTTTCGATGTGGAGCAGCAGCTGCTCTACTCTGAGCCCCTCCCGGATGGCCGAACTTCTCACCCTATCTCTAAGGGAGAGGCCAGCCACCCTTCGGAGGAAGCTCATTTCTGCCGCTTGTATCCGCGATCCTTCCCATTTCCATTCACAAAAAAACAACACATGACTTTTTTCAGCTTGAAAATGATTGAGCAGATAATTGCCTTGACTGTTGCAGCAACTATTTGCATCCACCAGACAATAGATGATGGAGTTATATGATTGTATAGTCATCCAGGTCATGACTCATGAAACACTAAAGAGGTTGAATTAAAGGCAACTGTCCTTCCTGTTTGATCCTAAAAACATTTAACCTCTCATTCCAGAAGCTTCGTCAGTTCTAAAAGCTGCCTTGACACGCGAGGACATGTTTGTGTGTGCTCCCCTGACTCAGTAGCTCTGGGGTGTTACAGGAGCCAGTTCTTGTTTTTAAACAAGTCATTAAAACTGAAAAAAAGAGATCAAAGAAAAAGCCCCAAAGTAACATATTAAATTAATACTCATGACGAATGTATGCAAACTTCACACAATATTCTCATTGAGCCCAACCTATTGATTCCATGTGATGACAAGAAGATGCAGATTCCTGTGTAGAAAACCCCCCACTTTATTTACAGTATAAGAAATGCAAAAAAATGTATCAAGCATCAAAATCCAGAATATTTAAATATGTCATTATTTTGTTTATAAAATATTTCCAAAATATGATTACTATGCTCTGCACGTCAGCCTACAGGAGCGTTTAGCAGCTTGCAAGAATAAGTCAAGAAGCTATAATCAGACTAGCGAAGAAAAGTGATGTAGGACCTTATCAGCGTCTGATACTGTATCTTAAAATCCACATCACTTTCACTCCACTGCAGCTGCTGCTGTTAAATGTATAAAACGTTCAACAGGAACCTGAAATGTGGATCTTCAGTCCAGTTCAGCACAGTGTAAACAAATCCACCACAGCGGCAGCAGCAGCTCACCAAAGCGTGCTGTTGTACCCTGCTTTGGTTTACATTATTCCACTGGTCAGGCAGTCTCACTGCTGGCAGATGGAGGCGAGTTGTTTTCTGCGTCGTGGAGGTGGTCAGCGGATTTTATGACATCGGGATCTCTTGGACTTGCAACCATCTCCTCACTGTTGCAGTTAATGGGAGAGCCGATCTCTGATGAGCGCTCCCCGGGCTTCTCAGGGGTGGCCTGCAGTGGGGCGGTGGAGAGTGGCAGATTCATCATGTACAACATGCTACCAAGACGTCTGGACACCTGTAGAAGAAGAAGAACAAGAGGGAAGGAGCACGTAGATGTTAATTGAAATAATTTGTGCTATAACTGAGACATTGGCGTATAAGAATGAATGAAATACAATTAGTGAATAAACTTTTTCACAGTAGACAGTTTAGCTCTCATAGTAAAGAAAAAACTGGGGTTTTTAATAGGGGCTGTACTCCACTAAGGACATGTTTGGTTAAACAAACTTTACTTTATCCCTTTAATAAAGTGAGGTAACTTCAGTTCAAATCTGTGGAAGCTTGTTTCTGCAACAACAACAACAACTACAACGAAATGTTAGCCAAAACTCAAAATTTCAGGTTATTATCTTAAAAATTTGACTTACTGACTCAAACTTCTGAGACAATTTGAAATTTCTAGTTATTGAGTCAGAATTTTAGGATAATAGCCCAAAGCAAAAATGGTCTTTTGTCACTTGTGGAAATAAGCTTCCACACAAAGCCCATAAAACACAATAAGCGGTCATGTAAATAAACCTTTATTCAAGATTTATCCTCGTACATCAGATAATCCCTTCAAATCCTGTCTTTGGTGGCTCGGGATTACATTTCCAGTCAGAATCTGTGTTTTTGTACCTGTGAGCGGATCTTAAGAGCTGGCCCCAGCTTCAGTCCCAGTGTATCCAATAAATGCTCCTCTGATAGGAGGGGCAGCGTCTCTCCGTCAATCATGTGGTCCTTGAAAGTCTATTAAAAATAACCCAACATTAGAAAGTCACAACAGAATGAGTTTAGAGGCGGCAACTACAAAAATGTGAGGCTACTAACCTGGGCATACTCTGAACACGTGGGAATACTGTTAATAAAGTTGTACACATCATTCACTGTCCACTTCCTGATGTCTTCGGGTACCTCCTCACCATTTAGAAAGAGATTTGGTGGGCCTTTAAAGACAAAAAATGCAAGTATATTAAATAACTGGCAGCAGAACATTTCACAGTTTTAAGCACAAGTGTTATTATTTAATATTTCTTAACTCACCAGGAGGAAGGAAACCATTTCCAGGGACCGGGAACATGTAAGGGATCCCTGTTAGAGTTCCTCCAGTGGAAGGATACATGAATTTCTCCTGGAACGTCGAACATTGGCTAGATATGTCTTTATCATTTGTTCCACTGTTGGCTGCATCTGAACTCCCATCTTGGCTGTTCACGCAGGCTTTCCGGAGGCCTGGCTCCCCATCTTTGTAGTTCTTCCTGCTTCCGGTGGCCAGTTCAGGGTCTACTTTGGCCTGATGATGTGTCTTACTGGTGGCACACTCCTCTCCCATGTCCCCCTTTGGCTCAAGCTCCTTCTCCTCCCCCGATGCGGCCCCTGGGCTCTGCTCTACACTTTTATCTTCAGTCTGACCCTTCACGTTGGACACATGGCTCTCCATACTCTTGTGAACAGTTGGCCTCCGACCTGCTCTGCGCCCCCGCTCTCTGTGCAGCGTGCTTATAGCTGGATATGGGTTGGCTGACATAAGAATATTGTTGGAGTGCAGTTCATCCAGGGTGGGCCGGTGGACGAAGACATCGTGGCCGTCTGGCATGCGCTGACGACCTCTAAACATCATGGGGTTGGAAGGGTATGACATGGGATTTTCAATTCCCATCAAGCCTTTCTGGTGCGCATTCTCCAGCTCCTTCTGATGCAGGATGGCATTCATTTCCATTCTGAAAAGAAGTGCATATAAATATTTTAGACATATTTGTGCAGCAGTGGTGATGGAGCCATAATATAAAACCCTTGCTGCAGCATGGGTGGAGGGATCAAGTCTCAGTCGTATTCAGTAAAAACAGTGACGCAAAGCGTGCAGGTGGAATAATTTCTGTGAGATGATGATGGTGATGATGATATTCAGCACGTAATACCTGGCTATATTTTGCTTGTGAATGAGCTCTTGTCGCCGGGCAACAGTTTCCATGGGCTCTGAGGGTAAGAAGCCATATCCAGCTGAGGAACAGGAAGAGACAGACAATCTGTCAATGCCTATCACCGCGCATTAAAACGAGACAGGCTGTCTGGGAATTATCTCAGGCAATATTTCTGTGGCGCTCACCTGGTGTAGGGAATCCTCTTCCAGGCAGGACGTTGGCATGAGGAGGCAGAGGTGGACCGAGGTGAGGGCCCATGTGCATCTGCCTGGCTTCAGACGGGACCATCTCGGTAGGTGGAACTAACTCCCTGATAAGAGGAATAAACAAAGAAGAAAAATTATGAACTGGAAAACACTTTAAAAAGCATATATTTGTAGAATCAAAATGTGGAGGACCAAAGTGGCCAAAAACAAAGTGTGTATTACTCTATTTATGTTTCATTTTTTAAATTAATTTATTTGTATTTATGAATTACTGTTTTCATATTTATTTCCCCTTAATTATTTATTATTTTATTTTCTCTGACATTTCTTTATGCATTTCAGTTTCACATACATTTAGTTTTAACTGAGAGATTTTCAAAATGCCTCTTGAAGGAGGGGAAGAAATTAGGCACATAAATTAATGTATACATAATCATTTTGCCAATTTTGGAACTCCATATAAAAACAGCTGGTTTGCGAGGACTATTTTAGCCTTATAAACATTTTAATTGTCCAAAAGAACAGAAAAGAGCAGCAGATTTTTTACATGGACACCTCTTGCAGCATTTTCTTCTACTTGTTTTCTTGTGGTTGCCCTTTTTCAGACAACTATTGTTGTAAGTTTAGGACAGAATTCAGCTACTGACCTCTCCATGAACCGAGGTTCGAACTGTGCGGGGACCCCCTGTAACCTCTGCTGCCCCTGGGCAAGGATCTGCGGTGCCATAGCCATCTGGTTCCTCATTATCAGCTCCTGCCTCTGCCTCAGCTCTGCAAGAAGTGAAAAAGCACCACAGGTCACCGGGAGGCCGTTTTAGCTGCTTCACCTGGCGCATGCACTGACTGTTAAAGCTGGAGCCTGCAGGTGCTACTGAGCAATCCACCAACGTGCAAACACGGCGTGAGGGAAGGTGAGGGAAAACAGGCTTGATCACCAAATACAAATACAGAACCCAAATTGCCAAATACAGAATCAACTCTGTCTATGAATAAAACCTGAAAAGTTAAATAATATTTTCTTGGCTTTTGTTGTTACGCTGTTCATCCTCCTCACCTCCAGCAGACATCCCATTGACGAGTCGGTACCAGTGCTTCTCATCCAAAGACCCCTGCTCCCCTAGCGCTGTCATCTTCCTCAGCTGCTCCCGTGGGGTCATGACACACTCACGACCTTTGATCTCCACCTGAATGCTGTTAAGAAAGAGAGCCAATTGAAGGATTTCTATAAACTAGACAGTTTACTTGACACATTGATCCTATAACGCTTCGCGTGGCAGGTAAAATAAAATCACACAAGATTATTTCTCACAGTAGCTGAAACTGAGCCAACTACAAACCCCTCAGTGCTGGGTGCGTTTTTGTAATTCCCTCACATCACCATTAGAGAGCAGCAGTTCTCTATCTCACGTTGATTACTGAACATTGCAGGTAAATTCTGCCTAGTGTCTGTTATTACATACTTTATGACTGCAAAGATGCAGCAGTGATTTCAGCAGCATGTAAATATTTGTAAACGGCTTGTAAGCGACCTTTTTAACTACAGCTAAGTATAACTCTTACCTCACCTTTTCCACAGACCTGGCCTTAAGTATTAATCTTAAACCTACCTTAACGCTAATACCTCGCCGTAATGCAAATCAATCCCGAACCGTTAAATCCAAATCCTAACCCCGTACGAAGGCCAGAACAAACAACTGGACGATTTCTTCTCATCTTTTCTGTCCTTGCAAATGCTGCTGGTCCTCCTGTACAGGGATAGAGGCGCACTCACATGTGCACTCACCCCAGATACCCGCATTGTTCTCGGCTGAACCAGCAGCTTGTGCAGATAAGTGCAATCGACTTAGAGACCTCCAATTAGCCTTCCACACTGCAGAAATCCCATTACAAAATATGATACTGTAAACGACAGTAATCCAGCGCTGCTAATCCAGGGCCGATGTGCATCTGGAGACATGAATAATGGATGCTCACCCCACAGAACCACCTCTTCATATGAGGTTTGCTGATTGAACTGATGAGCCTGCCAGTGCAGGGACATGTGTAAGCTGTGCACATGCACTTGGACATATTATTTCTGCCGTACCACCCTCCCCCTAGTCAAATGCTGCCATTAGATTTGCACCCAGGACTTGTGCATTACCCACAGTCTCTCAAGTTCCCTGTGAAGCCCATCTAATCTGACGACTTTAATCCCTCTGTTAGTTCTGCAACAGTCTGCCACCTACATCTGCTGACCTGCCCACTGTCCTCCCTACTGCCCCATCCAACCCCCGTCCCCACCTTCACAGGCCCCTGCTACCCTCAGGATCCTATTAGCTAAGTCCTGGCTATACAGCACTTTAAAGGGATGTGTTGGAGGTAATCCGCACGTTTAGAGTTTTACCCTCAGCAAACCTTGCCTGTAAGCATCCCGGACAATACACCCTAAGTGCTAAGCCTATTAGTCTCCATTAGCTCCCAGGATGTCCCCAAAACACCTTGGGGATAAATCTGGGGATGCAATCGGTTTATGTGGAGCTATGTGGCGGGAACACATGCCCCCTTCACCTCCCTCTCTGCCAATGTCACTGCAGCCATCAGCAAATAAGAAGAAATGTATTTACACGGCATTAATGTCCGTGTAAATCCCGAGTGGGCACTGAGCTCCGAGCCTCGCCTGAAGTGTCATCGCCTTTACACACAGCCAATATTTACACTTTCATCAGAAAGGAAGTAAACTGCAGAATTTATTTAAAGACTAATTGTTTTTCAGAGTGTGGATAAACACCTAACATAGTTTAAATCAGTCAACATGTCAACGAAGGAACAGAAGTCTGATTCCAATGAGCCTGTACCTAAATACAGGTTCACTCTCAGCAGCAACACCTGTGTTTACCTGCGATCCAGTTTTTAAACAGCTGCACAGATAAATACGGTGTGACGAAGATCTAAAATTCCTTAAAACGAATAATAGTTTTTTTTATTGCAAATTTAAATATCTCCTGGTAAATGGGGAAATATTCATTATTATCTTAAACATCAGCATCATTATCACAGTAAGCACTTTTCCTCATTTAAGTCAATTTATTACTTCAACTCACATTTCTGCACACACAGCATGTGACACCCTGTCTCCTTCAGTTTAACAGATTAATTCACATCAAGCATCATAAACAGAAAATGTACTTTAGGTACCTAAATGTACCTGAAGTGTGTGAGGTTTGCTGTTGATATAACATTTTAAATGTGGGTTCAGCCTGTGCACCAACTATGCACAACTTCCTGTTGTGCATTTGCACTTTCTTTCTTTTCTTTCTTTCCTTTTGAGCTGACGTATAAATAAGTCTGCAGGATTCTCAGCAGAACAGCACAAAGTGTTTTTAAACAGTGAGTCTGATATTTACTGAAATTAATGCTTTGCTCTTTAAATGTGATGCATCAGAGGCAGAAACTGGAGTGTCTGTGAACTTGAGCCATTTAGAGGAATCCTTTATAAGGCCTGTTGGAAACAGCTAACACTCTGATCACGTTAAGTCTCTTAAGTGAATTCGTAGCCTGAGACTGAGTTTATTGCAGTAACAAATCTTCAAAACTGGCTTCTTTTGAAGTGAGACATGCAAATTTGAAGTGGTCGCAGTGTTTTTCTAAGTGAAACTTTAGTCAAAGGTGAGCTACGGAAACTCTTGTCATATTTCCTTGACAAGCAGAGGCCACACCGCAGCTGCCAAATCCGGGGATTGGACTCCTTGGATTTACTGTTGCCTGGTTAATCTCATTACAAGCATGAATTAAAGGGAAAAATTGCTGACAACTTAGATGGAGCCCTGAGGAGGTCATATCAGACAAGACAGAAGTATTGTCTAGCCTTTCCTAATCCCCTCACAAAACACACATGAGCTAAAGCCATGCAAATACTGTCAGTTGCATGAAGCAGATTAGATTTCGTGACAATAAGTGCCGAGTTGCAGATATCACTAGTTTAAGAAATGCTTGTGGTCATAAACTCACATGACAAAGTGTTGATTGAAAGGATGAGTATTAATTTATATGTGCAAACGCAAAAAATATGCAAGAAGCCAATCCGGAAATACTCAGTGAGCGCTATATGCAAAATCTGGGCTGGTTATCATGTTAATTATTTGGATTTCAAGGTTGTCCTTTAATCGTATTGGCCTCTAGATTATCCACATACGGGAAAAAAATGATGCATGGCAATATTTAGCATATTTAATATTTAGTTTTGTATTTTTTGTGGGTTTTGTGGGTAACAGTAGCTTTACTCATATATGACACTTTTACAAAATGCATTGGCAGAAAAGCAAAAGCAGAACGGCAAATTCCAATAGAAAGCTGGACATTAAAAACAGGATAAAACTAAACATAAGACAGGACGTCCTATAACATCACTGAGTTTGTGACAATTAAAGACATAAAACTGTTAGATGGGAACGTACAGAGAAAATCAATGAGTGTAAAATACTGAAAGAGGATGTTTTCATCCACCTACCTTTAGGTTCACACTGCTGAGCAGAGATTGAAGATGCCGGTGTCTCAATTCCAGAAAAATGAAAAAGCCAATAAACTAAAATCAAGTTAAAAATGTTTCCCAAAAAGCTTTTGGCGAGCTCACAGATCTTCGTCTTTCCCTCTTTCACGTCCAACTAAATGGCCTCCTTAGACTTCTGGCCAAGTGGTTTGAGTTCAGTCTGCTGCCAGCTAACTGCCTTAACTAAAAAAGACCTGTTAAATACTGATTCATTTCATCTCCATTAGCTGGCCTTATCTCCTGTTTTAAGCCCTCCCTGCCCTGACATCACTATGATCTCCCATCCAACTGCTTGCTGCACCTTGCAACTGATGTGTAATTACTGAAGCAGCACTGGCCCTAAGCATGGAGTGCTAAACCTCTTTCAACGTTCACCTCACTAATCCCTTGTTAGCACTTTAGGCCATAGTTAAGACACCTAAATGCTTAGCTTCCTTTTCCAGTAGTTAAGTGACCAACCCGTCCTTAGCTGCTCTGTGGCCACCTGCAGGGAAACTGCATGGCGCAGGTTGCAGACCTCCTACTGCTCTAGTTTTTGTTGTTTGTTCACATGTCTAGTTTGAATGTCAGAAGTATTGCTCTCCACAGGGTGCCAAAGGGCTGACCCAAACATGCTTGGTGGTAATTTGGCAGAAATCCGACTAAATGTTGGCCAGATCATCCTCTCAGACCTCTTAATCTGACAGTTTGTGCTCACCAGCCGCTTACAGCATAGAGCTGCACTTCTAGGAATGATGTTTTCCTTAATGCCTGGGGTTTGTGGGGGGTGGAGGGACACAGGTGGTGGGTTGGTAGGACATTTTAAATGGAGTGGGACAGTCTGGTGCTTCTGTATCTCTTTGCAAGGAAGCAATGAGCCTCCAGAGAGCTGAGCACTCTGACTGCTCATCATATACATGCCAAATACATCAGTTAAAGGCAAAAAGAGAAAAGTAGAGACTTTTAACTATTTATTTTTATATACAGTGGACCAAAAATGTTAGAATCCACCACCAATGAGATGTTACTAATGTGTTAGGTTTTTATTTTTTAATGTAAACTCACATTTAACAGTGCTAAATCAACCAAATTCCCATGCAATACTGCAGAGGTCACATCATCAGTGTAAGTGCTTCTCAGCAGTGATTGCACTGCACTATAAAGCCTGATTGTAACTGCATTACAAGTTTTTAAAAAATACAATTTAAGTGATTTAACATCAGTTTAACATGTGACAATTCTTCATTTTCCTTGTAAAGGAAGGTTTCTTCCAGAGAATTTCATCCTACCATAGGTGTGACCAAAAATCTCAGCCGTGGGCAAAAGATGGCACCCAGTTTTATTTACACGGTGCATCAGTGGTTCTGTGTCACTCCACAACAGCAGTACTAATTAGTATAACACTCAAACTGCACATAACACTTCTTCTGTGGAGTTTGCATGTTCTCCCGGTGCCTGCATGGGCACCAGGAGAACCCTGTGGGTACTCTAGCTATCTCCTAGAGTCCAAAGATATGCATGTTACATCAGCTGATTAGTAGGTGTAAATGTGAGCATGCATAATTATCTGAGTATCATCTGAGCTCTGCGATAGACTCGTGAACCTGTCCTGGGTGTATCACACCTTTCTTTCAGGGTTAGCCAGAGTTCTCAGGGCTGTCTTTAAACTTTTTTATTTGCTTTAAATACTATAACATGGACTAGCCCAGGGTTGGGCAATCTCAGTCCACGAGGGCCGGTGTCCCTGCAGGTTTTAGATGTGTCCTCGAACCAACACAGCTTATTTAAATTGCTAAATTAGCTCCTCAATGGCTGTGTCCCAATTAAGAGACTGCACGCTTGAAGTACGCGCACTACGCGTACTACGTACGGTGCGTACTATAAGTACGAGAAGTGCGGAAGTGAGAGGCTTGTGAAATGGGACGGTATACGCTTCGTCGCGCTGTTCAGGTTGCCTAGCAACCATGATACTAACCGCTGGAAACGTGGAAACAAACAACTTTGTTTGACAGAAATAAAGGAGAAAAATGTTTTGTTGGTCATTCATTTTTGTCATGACATCACTTTGATTGAGTATCTGAGGCTGAGACCACGGGACTGTAAAACATGATTGTTGGGCTTCATTTCTGTGCTGAACAGTCATTTAAGATTAGTTAGTAAATAACAATTAGTTAATGTTGTTCATGAGACTAAAGTCAACTCACTGTGGCAATGTAAATATAATATGGCCAATATTATAGTATTGTCAGATATTATGATATGCAACATATTGTGTTATACATCATTTTAGGTGATAAAATACACTAAACTAAGAGTATCAGATGAACCAGCTGAAGTAACATTATTTAGTATTCCTATGTTTTTTTAAAATTGGGTCAGCATATTTCTTGTGTGTTTAAGCAGTGATTTGGGAGACAACTAAGTTCTTTAAAAAAAAATAAAAACAACAGCATTAATAAAGTACTTAAGAATTAAGAGAACAAAGCATTAGGACATCTAAACCGCTAATTTAGGAATCTCCTGGGGTAAGCTTTTTATAAGGGATTTCTGTCCAAGTTGCTTGCACCCAGTATTATGGAGTCACAGTGAGGCAAAGGGATCAGAGCAGGTTTAACCTCAAGAAACGGGTCTGGCTATAAATTCACTGGGTCAGTACAGACACCATCCATCTTCTAATTACAGCAACAATCTGGTGTCCGGATCACCTGCCTTTCCTGTCTTCTTCTCCACACCAAATGACGACTGTACTGAAGCCGTAATCCCTCTAAGTTGGAAGCAGTACGTCTTTTGTGGCTGGTGGAAATCTTGTTTAGGTCTTGATTACTGTGAGATATAGTAGGATTCTTCAGGATCAAGATTCCCTGAAATAACACTTTGTGTTGGAGTTCCTGAACAAAAACTGTGAAGATGTGCTGATTTTATACATTTGAACTTAAACAATGAATCCAAAAAAGATATTGTTGTGTGTCTGACTGGAGGAAACATTGAAAAAGGGTTTCAATTATTTTAGCATATCTGGAGGTTAGAGTTAGTTTTGTGTGTGACACATCAGGTATGTTGTGTCAAGGCTATCCGCAAAAATAGGTCTCTTCACATGTACACTAGAAAACTGTGTTGTTCTGCAATGACAAATTAGATGAAGTTAAAAAAATCGGCAAATTTAATAAAAAAAATGAAAACCGATTCATGGTATTGTGTTAATAGAACCTGACAAATAACAGATTTCTAAGACTAAAACCAACACCGATATTTAACAATTTATTATTGGCCATTTTTATTTCTTTCAGAGATCCGAAACATAAAACGATTTCCATAAAATTTGTCATATGCAATTATCCCACGTGGCTGATTTTTTCCTCTGAAAATGTTTTAGCAGTTAAGATGTATTTATGAATATTTTTGTTTTTATTGAATTGAAAAAAGGTTTTGTAGTATACAATAATGATGAATGATGACTTGTTATCATTAAGTTATGATTAATCAGTAAGAGCACCTGCTGTTTTCAGACAATCCTTTGCAGCCCTCTTATCTCCTCTGCACACCAGTTCCAGCCACTAGCTGGGGCACACACAAGCAAAGGAAGCCATCTTATATTATACATAATCACCTTTTGGTTCCCACTATATTTTTCTTTAACTGTTATTCAACAGTCAAGTTCTGCATACTTATCTAACTTTCACACGAAACTAATCTCTTTCTGTCTGAGGCCCCAATTCTGGAGTAGTTGAGAATGGGACCAGATGTTGAGCATCTCATACCTGCTTCCTCAAAATAACCTCACATGCTAATGGCAAGGCGGGGCTGATCACGGCAGGTGTATAAACATTGAATGAAAACACAGAGAGTCACTACTACCCAGTAAAACAGGCAAGTGAGTAACACCCGCATGTACCCCCTGTTCTTTATGCTTTATCTTTAAAAGCTGACAAACTTTTTTTCATTGTTCTTTACAGGTTGTGGAGAAAAATGAATGCCATCCAGGTGATTTCCCTCACTTGGCTGTCCATTGTGGCAGCCGGTGCTCAGTCTATAAAACCAGGAAGATGCCCCGTGCCTGCCGTTCAGGAGAAATTTGATGCTGCAAGGGTGAATACCAAACTCCTCACTCTGAGCTGTATTTTAATTTATCTTCATTAAGGTAAACTGGGATGTCCAGTGTGCACATCTGCCTCACAAACAAAACCAATTCAACTCCCTCTACAGTATCTTGGTAAATGGCATGAGATCCAGAGACTGTCGAACAGCTTCCAGAAGGGCCAGTGCAGCACTGCCACCTACAGCCTGCAAAGCCCAGGAGTCGTTGGTGTCCTCAACAAGGAGCTGCTGTGAGTACTTCAGTGCCTGGGAGCACTTTGGATAACATCCGTTATCCGAAAAATGTTTGTACAAGTCAGAGTCTTTGTCCTGCATCATTTCTCTGGAATACATGTAAAAGATAAAGATATGGATATATCCATGGTGCTGTGTGTGGTGCTGGAAGGGCAGACAGATTTGTGTCCTCTCAGTCCTGCTCTTCAGTCTCTTCTTGGATTTAAAATATCATTCACAATAAATGGTTATTCCTCAAACCTCAGACTGCATCTGAAAAATATTTTAGGTGAGACACAGTTTAGGTTTTACCATAATGTATAACCAGTAAATGAATAAGTCTATAGAGAAGATGGATTCATCCTAAAATGAATCCAATCCATAAAAGTTTACCACTCAAGCTCAGTTTAAATGACTCTGTGCAGTCAGTGGTGCTTAATCGAGCCTTCTGCTGACACTTTTTTTTCAGTTCTGTTTTAACACGATTCTCTCTTGATTGTGTTTTAATTGTTGTGCAGTGCTTTGCGACTTTCATGTCTGTGAAAAGCGCTACATAAATGAACTTAATAAAGAACCCCTCCCCCCAGCCTTGTCTGATTGTTAATGCTGTGGTGTTCTCTGACTACCAGCCCACCCTTTAAGGAAATGACAAATCACCTGCTGACTTGAGACCTGAGAAGTTGAATTTTACATGTACAAACAAATAATACTAAATAAAATGAAAAGTACTTTTGAAGAGTAAATATGTTGCTTTGACTCTGAACAGTCTGAATATAAAAAGTATTTTTCTAACTTTTAACTGTTTATCTGCTTAAGTCCTGACGGCACCATTGACAGCATCAACGGCACTGCCAAGGCCGCAAGTTCATCTGAGCCTGCCAAGCTGCTGGTCACCTTCTTTGAGAGTATGGACCCTTGTTTTTTGTTTTTACACACATATTAAACATTTTAAACTGGAGAGCTGAATTGTACAAAAATCCCTTTTACACACCTTCAGACACCCCTCCTTCCCCGTACTGGGTTCTGTCCACCGACTACGACAACTTCGCCCTGGTCTACAGCTGTACTGAAATCGAATCGTTACATGGGGAGTTCATCTGGATCCTGAGCAGAAATCCCAGCCTTCCTAAGGAGACCCTGGAGGAGCTGCAGAGCATCCTGTCATCTTTTGGAGCCAGTGTGGAGAAGCTGCTTGACACCAATCAGGACAGAGATCACTGCAGAGTCATGCACGAGTAAACATGTGCTGTGGTTATCACTGAATGTCTCCATGATAGGTCAATGCATAAAAAAAAAAAAAAAAAATTGGGCCGACTGTCAGATATAATACAAGATTAATTAATATGCTAATATAATGTCTGCTTGAACTCTTTGGTCAATATTTATATTGTTGCACCAATAAAAGTGGACCATTCTCACTGCATTCCTTTTGTTTACTGTCTCAATATACAGCTGCTGACACTGACACACAACTGAACCAACACACATCTTTAAGGACAGCTGCATTAGAGTGAATTAACTTTATTTGGGGTAACTTTATTTCACCTAATAAATACATTCATTTAAGGCAATTTTCTATTTTTAAAATTGTGCTTTAGTGAAGCTGGGATCAAACTGGGGTACATTTGTGTCTGTGAGCCGGGGTGGAGTCAGTGACACACATCAAGAATGACAAAAAGGGATAAAAAGGATTTTAAGCGGTGGTCAGGGTACACATTATTAATGAAGTATTTAAAATTGGGCTTTAAGTGACTTTTCTCTCCTTTTTTAGTTTCCTTCACCTTGTTCCCTAGAATAGGTTTTTGCTTTTTTATGTCTAAATCTTTTAACTGGAGCTGCTCATTTGTTAGGTTTCATCCTCATCCTCTTTGCCTTCACTGTTGCTTAATGGAGATGAAATTGGGCTTTTTAAAAAAAAAAGAAAAAGTCTGTTTTCCTTCATGGAGCACTTTGTTTTTTAAGTGGCAATAAAAATAAAGTGTATCATTAAGTTTTATTAGGAAAAAAGACAAAAAAACCAAAAACGTCATGTGACTGACATCTAACTTTGCAACTCTGAAATTAACCAGTGAAAGGAAGAAGGCTAAAAACATGCTTTTAAGAAGGAGTCGAGCCCCATCAGCAGTAAGTAAAGTTGAAAAGAAAAGTGCTGAAGGTGAAAGAGAAATTGGGACTCTTGTCTTCTGGGCATTGTTGGAATTTAAATCCTAGTTTTAGATTTTAAAAGGTGCAGATTGTGTTTGCAATGTCAAAATGGACAACATGAAATTTCTTCACACAGCTTTATTGTTGCATTGTCTTTGCATGCAATCATTGTGCCTCACAGTCCTGTGGGCTGAAGTAGGAGCGTACGTTAACTGGTTCACTGGTTAACTGGGCTGCAGTAAGTCTCGTCCTGGTTGGTGGGGACCATGTTTTCCACGCTGACTCCGACAGAGTACAGGATGCCTTGGAGCTTCTCGAGGGTCTCCTTAGAGAAGGTGGGCTTCCTGCTCAGGATCCAGGACAGCTCCACACGGAACAGGCCGTAGTCGGTGCAGCCGTAGACCAGAGAGTGACCGTCGTAGTCGGTAGACAGAACCCAGTAGGGGCCGGGAGGAGAGTCTGCAGGAGAGGTGAAAACAGCAGGGATATGTGGCTCACTTGAATCTGTCATGACTGAAATTGAAAGTCATTTATGACAACTTACTGTTGAAGGAGACCTCAAGCTTGGAAGGCTCAGCGGGGTTCTTGACTTTGGCAGAGCCGACGATGGCGTTAACAGTTCCATTATCGCTAATAAAATGAAACATGAAATAGAAATTAATTCTACTCGTGTACTTTCCTTCAATTATATATTTTTTCTACAAAATGCTCTCTTTGTATAACTCTGGAACAGTACAAAGGTTCAGCCAGTGACCCTGCGCGTTCATGAGGCATGAGTTTTGTTCCGGGACGTTGAAAACATCTGAAGCAAAAATAGTCTAGAACGAGGATTTAAAAAAACAGAAGCAAGCAGTTGTACGGTAATGCTGTTTTTAGTAGAATTAAGCGTTGGTGAGAAGAATAAAAAGCCCTCCGATTATTACAATTATGTCAAGGACCATGTGTCCTTCTGAGTTTATGCAGAAGTTTTCTTAAAAATTAAAACATTTTCAAAGTGTCAGATCTAAACGGAAATATTTTAGCTGCTCACAGAAGCTCAGTGTTCAGGACCTCGATGACTCCAGGACTCAGCAGGGTGTAGTTAGCAGTGGCACACTGGCCTTTCTGGAAGCTTGTGGGTAACTTATGGATCTCATACCATTTTCCAATGTACTGCAGAGGAAGCACGAGATTCGGAGAGCCCGTAATTAATATTTTGTGTTTGTAGGAAAAGCAGGTGTATAGATATCATCTGTATGTCCCACAACATAAACAGTAGAAGAGGAAAAAATTTAGTGTTCACCCTGTTGGCGTCAAAGTTGGCCTGAACAGCAGGCTGGGGACATTTGCCCAACCTCAAGACCTGAGCGCCGATCGCAACAACAGACAGTAGAGTCAATGCAACCACCTGTGCAGGCTTCATCTTCTCACCTCAACCTGCAGAGAATAAAAAACAAACAGCAAGAGTTCATGCTGGAGTTCACTGAGCAAAACATGATGTGAGTGTCAGTTAGTGACAGAAAGAGCCTGAGATGTGAAAAGAATGAATAAATGTAGAGAAGAAACAAAGAATCACGGCCACTGACTGTTTATTTGCAGGTAATCAGCTGTGTGAAAGAACTCAGCCTCTGAGGTTCTTTTAAAGATTCAAATGCTTGCATCACTTCATTATCGATCATGGGTCCCACCTCTGTGTTATGATAGGGGGCCAGTGTGAGCGCTGGCACCTGTTCAAATAAATACTCTGTTCAAACAGTAACAGGTTGGTCATGTAATCACATCGTTGGGTTTGTTGGATCTCTTGGATCACTGCTCCCTCCTTCACATTTATTTTTTCCTGAAAGACAGACAACAAATATGAAGATGAAAATCAAAATTACTGAAGTTACAATCAAAAAATGATAAGTTAGCAGCTGCTTATATTTGCACCTATAAATATTTTAAAAAATTGATTCCCCAAAATGTGAACCTAATTTCCTGCACATTTTACAGAAACAGAGACAACACAAGGCTGGACTTTAAACTGAGCTGTTATTTTAAACTTGATTTTACTTAACATGGTTTCATTTGTTAGTTCCTCAAATATATATATTTTTCATATTTTTCTGACTTCCTAATCTGTGAGGCACCTTAAAGACACTAACCTGCATGAAACTTCATGCATATTTAGTAATGGAGGAAAGGACCACAAATGCTGACTCACAGGTAGGCGTCAAAAGAAAACAAGCTTTTATTCAAGTTGAAGGAATAAATGTGGGGGAGCTAGGAAGTAAGGAACAAAGGATCCCTGACACAGGGTGACACACGGGGCAAACGGGTGGCAGACACAACGGGAACAAATCAGGGATAATGAGACACAGGAAAGTAAAATTAAATAGAAAAAGCACGAGACCAAGGCTACAAAAATAAAACAGGAAGTGACTAAACAGGGGAAGATCCTTGACTGAGTCTTGACAATACATGGGGAACACCAAGGAGGTAAACTGAAAGAAGGAATATTATAAACAATAAACATAGCAGCAACGGGAACAAAAACTAAACACAGCAACTAAGAAACAAACTCAAGACAAAACAGTGATGAAGCCAAAAGTGTGTCAATGGCCCAGTGACTGTGACACAAAGAAAGTTTGACTTTTAGCTGTTTTAATTTTCACTTTAACTAAATCCAGACAAAAAGAGGCACAACCCTGTGGTTTGGTATGGAAAAGATCATGTCTGTGAAATTATTGTTTCTGACAGAAAACTGATGATAAACTTCTCCAGTTGCAGAGGAAACAGGCTGCCTGGCACTAACAAAACAAAAACAAAAAAAAAGAAAAGAACTGATATCCAGGAAGTCATACTTGCTAACTGCAGCCCTGCACAACTGCAAATGTTTCACAGGAAAAGAGGAACGAGACACAGGAGACTGGGGGGCACAGTCACTGCTCAAAATACAGTATATGTATTATTATGAGGGTGGCAGACAAAGGCACAAAGGCATGGACCAGCAACAGCTTGAAAGGTCATAAATGAGGAGACCGAGTGTGGGAACATGCAACAAGGAGAGGAAACACAATGAAGATTTGTATGAAAAGAACCAGTGATTCTAATTTATTTACACCCTTAAAGCGGAGCTAAAGGTTTAGTGATAGAGTGGCTCTGTCCAGGCAGACATTTGTTTCATCTACTGAACTACATCTGACAGAGATTCTCTGGGATGTTATAAAACACATATCATCATATTGAAACATGAAATGACCCAGACTCTAAAGAGGCTATTTTCAGGTAACCTGAGATGACGTGTAAGATGAAGAGTGTCTGTGTCCTCATCCGACATCAAACAGATTTTGCAGCCAGCGTCAGTCTTTCCACCTTCAGACAAAAGTGCAGCATGAGGTCGGTGCTTACTGCATCTCCTCTCGCCAAGCACACACAGGTGTGTGAAAAACACGACCCGAGCTCAGGTGTCCCCGCTTTTCTGGACGCTTTGCTCCCACTGCAGCTCTCTCTGCTTCTGGACTCACTTTTCATCTCTTTAACAAAGGGCTTTGAGTGCCTTGAAATGCACTCAGACAGGAAGTGGGTTGAGGCTGACGTAGTTTTTGCGGGTTTGTCATAAAAGGGATTTACATAAAAGAATCAGACAGGGAGCAGCAGGGCTTGAAAAACTAATTAAAAACATTTAAAATTTAGAGATCATTACATGGAGCAGAAGAATGATTGAAAACAGCAGTGTATCGTGATAAATTGCT